CAAAACAATACATTCTACACACACACACACACACACACACACACACACACACACACAGCCTGGAGCTCACTGAAGCGCACAACGAAGCTCACACTTCAGAATACAAATTTTGGGTGGGAAGATGCTGTCGCCAGGAATCTGCCAATACCCCAGAGCCCATGATTCCAGGTTGATAAGCTTTTACACCCACAGTCTCAGGAAGGGGGTGGGGCGTGAGTCTGGAGGTTTCGTGTTAATAGCCCAACCTGGAAACCGTTTGTAGGGGCGAGGATCAGACTGCGCGAGGCTCGGGCGCCCCGCGGGACATCCCGCGGGCCTGGGTGGGCTGCGCGTCCCAGGGACCGCCCACCCCCAGCAAGAGATAGTGGCAAGGTCTTCCACGACATTTTCTCAGCAATCGGGCTTTCCAGAGGGTGCCGACCCCGCCCCCACCCCCAGCCCAACACACAGACACACACACACACACACACACACACACACACACACACACACTGACTTTCTTTTGCCAGAGGGAGGGGATAGTTGGGGCACCCAGAAGTACCTTTTAATTGTTGCAGGGTAGTGGAAAAAAACAGCACCGAGTTTTAACCCTCCATCGTGGGCAGACAACCCGTCCACAATTCAAGCCTTTGCTAGGAGGCAAAGATGAAGAGGCAGGTGTTGGCAGGCAGTGGAGGGGGGCTCCTTCGGGGAGGCCTGAGAGTGCTCACGGGAAGGCGACATGCCAATGGCTGTTCCCCGGGGTCCTGAGCCTCCTTGCCCAGCCTTGTCTGGAGACCCCGCTGGAGTCTGGCTGAGGAACCGGACGCCCGGGACAGACTTGGCGATAGCCTTAGGACACCGCGCGCTGGCGGAGGAGAGACGCGGTGGGGATGGGGGGACAAAGACCCGCATCGCATCTCCTCTTCTCGAGCACCCCCTCAACTAAACACACTGGTGTGGGAGCCCCGAGTGCAAGCCCTTCCCTTCCTTGCTCAGCAAAATTATGGGGCCGGTGTGGCTTTTGAAGAGAGAGGAGTGTGCAAGTCATCCACCTGCTGCGAGGACGCCCCGCAGGCAGCCTCCCCTTGGCCGGGAAGGACCGCCCGGCAGGAACCCATCGCCAGCCTCCACCCCGCTAAACCCCGCACAAGACCCCCAGCTTCCCTTGGGTCTTTCCGCATTAGAAACAGTCTGGAAGTCAATCTCCCTTGGTTTACGGTGCCTGCCTTGCCTGCCTTGCCGCGGCAGGAATCTCCAGGAATCTTGAAGGTGAAGTAGCACCAGAGTCGGCTTAATCTGCGAAGTCTCTATTTCTCGGCGTCCACATGCGTGTGGACACACAGACCCCACAAGAACCCTGACTTTTTGCTTTACAATGTCCGAATGCAGTACAGCTCGAAGCTCTTGAAGGGAGGCCCATCTATGTGGCCATATTGCGTTTAATGTGGGAGGACCCACAGCCGCCACCCTTGACCTATGGTTCCGCAGCATCTCCCCAGAACCTCAGACCTTGGCTCTCTGGCTCCAGAAGCAGGAGCAAGTAAAAGCGTCACCCCTCCACCCCCAGCAACAGCTCCGGAGCTGTTGATGTCAGGAAGGCTAGAAGTTCCTCCAGGAAGAGCCAGGAAAGTCCTATATAAAGATCCTCCCTGATGGACCTGGAGTCAGTCCTCTCTTCTTCAGCCAGTTCCCCACTGCAGGAAATGTCCTGGGACTGGGAAAGAGCTGCCTCCAGGAGGGTAGCACTCCTCACCGTCTTTCCATCTGCCCAGGGGCTTACTCAAAATACACTGTCTTACAAGGGGGTGATCTTCCCTCCCTTTTTCTCTTGTTTCTCCAGAAGGATGGCCTTTGAGACTACATTTCCTTCTCTTTTTCCTCCTGGGACTGCTGGAGCAAGTCCCAGCCAGCCGGCGAGCCCCTACCCAGAAAATGGCTTGGGTAATCTTCAAATCTATTGGGAAGGATGGAGCTAGCCAGCTGCTCCTTGACCTAAGAGTGGAAAGGAAATTGGCTTCTAGGAGTCCATAAGCCTTTCTGGAAACACTGACTGCCTCCTCTGTCACAATGCCAGGCCCCTAATCCTTTTCTCCTTCTTTTCTCTGTTGCTGGAGAGGGTGACACCAGACCACGGGGACGGCTCTTCACGTCCAAGGAGGCTGCTGACACTTCACAGAGTCCAGGGAGGGTGTTGCTTTAGGGTACCCAGTTAGAGCATCAGAAAGACTGGGGTACCAAAACGGCTGACAATTTTGGGAAACAATTTAATTTTTTGACATAAAATGAACAACGGAAGCCACAGGGGGTATCACTTACTGGGCCCCTTTTCACTTCTTCTACAGTTTAGAAGGGCTTCTGTTTTGAATTGAACAAGGGAGCAGGCACCAGACCCTTTATGTCTCTTCCAATTGTTAGAAATCTTTAAAGAAAACCTTTACTGGGGACCACAAGCAGAGGCTAAGGCAGACCCCTGAGAAGTTGGAGAACCATTCAGATTCTGTCAGGAGAGAAAGCTGAGGGTTCGCTCTGGGTAAAGCCAGACTTCCATTTCACTGATCAGCATAGAAAAGGTGTCCTGGGGGTTGCCGTCCTCAGAGGCAGCAGAGGAGGAGGTGTCGACATGAGTCCCAGAAACCGGGTTGGAGACTGAAGCCTAGGGGCCTCGCAGCAGTGAATGCAATGGGGGTAAAGCTAATAAGATGTATCAAGACAGATTTGCCTGCAAAGTGACGTCAGAGCCGGAGGAGTAAAATGTGGGGGAGAGAAGAGAGAATGGTTTAATCGAGGCATCTTAAGTGGCCTGACCCTCAAGTCAGAATGATTTAAAGTTTTTATTAGGAGAACAGATGGAAGATGAGAGCATTTCTGGACGCAGACTGGCACTTCTTGGGTCCTCACATGCTGCGTGGTATAGCCTTATATCCACCTTCTTATAGCTCCAGATATAAATAAAATGAAGAACGTATTCAAACTGTTCTATTTGCCAGCAACCTCCCTTGGGTTGCTAACACTGAGGAGAAAACAGTAGGAGAACTGAGGCTATAAAAAAAAAAAATCAAGAGCTACTAATGTGACCCGACTTCTACCATTTATTTAGTGGAACAGTCATTATTTTCTGTCTTCAACATATGTCTGATAATGAAGCAAAAAGAAAGGAAAATAACTATCAATGTGCCACTTCAGAAACACACAAACATTTGCTAGCTTTTTCATTTTATTGATGTTCTTTTCGTATATGGACTTCTGATTATGCTAGTTATCAAGTGCTAACAGCACAGAAAGCAATACTGGATTAGGCTTTTATTAATTTTTTTAATAAGGCTCAATTAAATGGAGAACAGAGATGAGACTGTTGTCAAACATAAAAATATGAATTGAATTGCTTCTTTTTAGATGGGTCTTTAACGTTGATTTGACCATATGGACACTGCAAAAGAAATAAAATACATTATTGTTGAATTATTTCACAACCATCTTGAAAAAGTACACTTCTCACGGTGAAAAAGAAAGAGACTGCTAATAATGCTGTATAGAGTATTTGATCCATCTCCTGCAGGCTAAGAGGAGAATGATGGCACCCTCTGGCAAATGATCCTAATTAGGGTCCAAGAATCACTTCCTAGATGCATCCTTCCAACGTTAAGAATTTTACTGTCAAAAACTCACCCTTCAAAAATCCTCCAGTCCTCAATTCAGGTGAAGCTCTTACACATTTGATTAGAAACAGCCAATGGCACAGGCACAAAAGTGAAGGCTTAATTTTTCAATACTGGTTACTGTTAATTACCAGCATTTAGTGTCTACTCCTTGATTATAAAGTGGGTAAGTTTAAGGAAATAATACCTTCTTGCCCCAAAACATACAAAGTGGTCTACAATCAGAGGTTATCTGTTTCTAAGCTTAACTATATCACAATTTAACTTACTAGTATGCTTTTAAAAAGTTACAGTGAAGAACCCGTTCCCGTTTAATTTTTGCTCAAAATAGGGAAGGATCACAAAGTTAGTTCATCTTAATCAGCGAGCTCAGAGGTAGATGGTCACTGAAATGTACATTGTGGGAAATGTACGACACTTGAGTTTAAGGCAGCGAGTTTCATGGTTATTTTAAAGGAAGAGTAGAAACAACCACAGAAAGATGAAATGGGGTGGGGCGGGGGGGGAGAAAAGGAGAAGTGGAAGGGGAGGGGGAGGAGGAGGAATAACAACAACAATAATAATAATAAAGAAGGAGGAGAAAGAGGAGGAGAGGAAAGGAAGGAAGGAAATCATTATCATTTAAAGAAAACCCACTTCTCAATGTTGGGCAAGTTTCTATTTATTCAGCTAAAAAATGAAAAATAAATGCTTCCTGGAATAGTTTGCAATATTCTGAATTTCTTTTCCTGCCCTCTTTGTACTTGCCCAGTGAACACAACTTATTTGCAACCTTGTGAAAAGTTGCCTTGTAATAAAGACCTGCCATAAATTTCCCATCACAGCCTTTCAAGCAACTGATGCTCACAGTGAAATGTTACAAAATTTCATTAACTTAAAAAAGTCCTGTGTTGATCCTAAGGACTTCAATGTCCTGGGCTAGAGTAGCTTGTGAAAAGTGCACTCCTGGTCTATTCAGCCTGGTAAATATTTGATTGGTTTTTCAACTATTAAGTATTTACGAAGTCACAGAAGCACCTAAAACGGCCATAGTCCTGCAGGATTGGTACCCACGTGTCTGCAGGCGGAGCCGCAGCATTCGCCTCTCTGCAAGTGCGCCAGCTGTGTGAGCACCAGGTAGCCGGTAGCCGGGTCCTCGTAGTTCAGCTGGCCGGCCTGCAGAGTCAGGTAATCAAACCATTCATTCATCTCAGTACTCATCATATCTCGTCACCAGAACCTCTACTCATAAAACGCCGCCACATTTTCTTTAAACAATATTAAACTTCTTCCCCAGCAATTTTAGTGGCACTTGCAATTAAAGACGGAATGCATTCCAACACTAGACACAACCCAACTTTATGTGACAGAAGGAGAAAATATACAGTTTGAGAAAAATGAGAAGTTGATGGAAAAACAAGAAAGCCTCTATACCCAATAACTATAGAGCCGTGGCTCCGGTATTTTTCATTCAGTTTCTAGGGAACAAGTTTAATAACAGGTGATTTAGATGACTTGAAGAGCTTAAGAGGCTGAAAATGAACTTTCACTCAGAAGTTGCAGTTGCAATTTCACTACTTAAAATATGTGGATAATGATTTAAACTTACAGAAAAGGTGCTAATCAAAACCAACCGTCCTCACAAAAGAGTATTACCCTCAGTTTTATGGAACACTTTTCCTTACCTTCATGATGTGTTACTCCACTGCACATTTTAACACTATTTTCTTTTTTTTGGAGTGTTGTTAGTGCCGTCTTTAAGCAAAATAAAAGTATTGTTTTAACATGTTAACACTCACTGCTTTCACAAGTTTGATCAAAAGCAACTTTCCCTGCAACACTTCAGATGCCAAAGAAGCAGGCTCTACCTACACTCAGACATGGTTTTTAAAAGGTGTCCCAAGATAAAGTAAATAACACAGGCTCTTCTGTGGATCTGGGCCACGTGGGTGATGTTATTTAGTTTAGCCTTGAGATTCTGAAGAGAAACTTTCTCCTGGGCTTCTACCACGCAGTCACTCTGCACGATTCCTGCATACAGCCTCTTCATTAAAGCACATGTGACACTTATATGTCTTCTAACATATATTTTTGCATGTGACAAACTACATCTTCAGGGTGTCTTCCTTAATGTCTGGATATTTTGCCCTAGTTCGGGTTTTAATCAACTACGCTTCGTGAATAAAGCATGGAGCAAAAGGACAACTGGAGTTCAAGTCTAGGTCTCCTCTGAGACCCTCCAGCAGAGCGAGCCCAGGGCAGCAGACACACAGCAATCAAGCCCCAAGGCCAGTCTAAGGGGCCTTTGTGAACACAGAGGCAGATTACTTGAAACCAGGAGCACTAAACACTACTTTAGAATGACTGATTGTCAAGACCTCACTTCTTTATTTACCAAGCCCGCCTTGGAAGACTTGGAAGAAAAACAAAAGAATACTAGGAACTCTGTTAGCCAGCTTCTTTCCACGTGTCAGGCTGGGGGTCTTCGGAGAGCAATTACCTGGAATCCGGGAGTCTAACCAATTGCTTCTGAGCCTGGGCCTCTCTCCTGCTTTCCATGTTGATGGAGAAACTTTGAGCTCACTGGTGGCCCACACAAACTTAATTCATCCTTAGTAAATGAGCCTTAGGTAATGGCGGCAAAGATGTGGCAAGAATGCCAACAGTTTGACTGCAGAACAGACGTTCAGGGATGCGTGTCAGCCCAGGGAGACAGGTAAGAGAGCTGCCTGGAAATGTGGAGGAAGGACCACTGGGAGGGGGCCCTGATTTGTGGACAAATAAAAACAACCTTGTTACTGGGTTTATTTATGGTCTCCTGGATGGTCATTTAAACTGCAATACTGACACTGATCAAGTGTGGATTCCCCGAGTGAGAAAAAGTTTCTTTCCTTTCCCAGGCTGATTGAACCTCTTTCCAGGCCACTGGTGTGTGCTCCAGGGAATAAAACTTCCTGCTCTGTTTACCACATTTATATGGTGAAGAATGGAAACAAATTATACATGTTATTTTTAAGAGTATAAAAATTAAAGAAATAAAAGTATAAACAAGAACAATCAAAAGCTGTCAGTCATTTTCTAGAGTCTTTGTGCAGAATATTCAACACTTGAATGAGCCCAACAGTGGATCTCAGGGATTACTGTCAGTAAAAAAAAAGAAAAAAAAAGTCAACTTTAGGTAACCTCCAAGGTTTTCTTCTCTGCTCCTTTGGCTCAAGTTGGACCATATAATACTAGCCCTAACAAGCACTGACCACACGCAGTGTATTCAACAGGCTACTTTCATATCTCTTTTGTGTCTTTATTATAGAACTCACTTGCTCTCTCAAAAGGATAAAAATATAAACACGCTACCTTTAAACTTATTAGTCTGAGGTGTTAGAAAGCGTGAAGGAAGATGGTAAGTTTTGATACTAGTGCTAACAAGCAATTGTCAAATCCTCAAAACAGAAGAAAACATAGTTCAAGAATTCTCTGGGAAGAATGGAAAGGCCTGATTACAGTGTCCTTTGTAACTGTGCTCCGTGAGCGTGGAAAGGACAAAAGGATGGTAGCAAAAATTAAAATAAATTAAAAATAAGAACTTTTTTCATTATTGAAATCATTGGATGGCAGTGTTTAACTGATCCTGCAGATAAACACACGACATATTTTTCCTGTGACTTCTCGGCTCCTCTGCCTCCTCCCCCAGTGCCACACACACACACCCCCGCCCAGAAACAGTCGCATTCATAAGAGTCGAATTCATACTCAGGACGGATACAAGTTAACTCTTTGCGCGGAATAGGAAACCGTGGCCAGTTTTCAGGCGAAAAGTTCTGAGCGGGAAGCGTGCGCGCTGTCCGAGGCCTTCGCCCAGGCCAGGCCAGCTCGGGCCTCCAGCAACCTCTTTCCCCGGCGGTACGCTCAGGGTCCCTGACCCAGGGGCTGCTGTCTAGGCGGGGCTTCCAGGAGGGGCGGGGCTTCCAGGAGGGGCGGTACTGCCTAGAGGGGCGGGGCCGCTGGGGCGGGGCAGGGAGGAGGGGCCTCACCGCGCAGGCGCACGGCTCCCCCCGGCAGCCGTCCGAGGGGGGGAGGCCTGGGAGGGGC